ATAAATTAAAAATAATTATTATATGTACCCTAAACTTTAAGTGTATCGAATAATATTGATTGGAAAATAACATAATTTATCTATCTTTATTGGTTGAAAAATAAATTTGTCTATAAAAGATATTTTTTTATTTGGCATCAGTTCGATGGTTTGAACAAGCAGCTGGAACCACAGAAAAAGGGAAGATCATTATTTATTTTGTTTCCCTAATTAAGTTTATTTTATATTCCATATATAAGATTGTGTGGATCTTATTATGGTATTTCATATTGTAGGGAATCGGACGTGAGAGAAACCAAGAAGGAAGAGACGCACATGCATAGGAGATCAAGGAGAGAGAGAATGAAAGATTCACTTACCAAAGTTGAGCTACAATTATGGAATGAAATCATGCTTGGAGTCCTATGCCTTGTAGAAGACTCCAACCCTAAGGAGATCATATAAATATTCTAGGAGAAGCTCCTATTGCGGCTGCTGAAGTTAGAGAGATTTTTAGAGCAATATTTGAGCTTCATATTTTCTGTTCTATTAAGTTGTACACAGTTCAGTGCGATAGTTCTTACACACTCAAGGACTGAAGCTGTTTTTGTTTAGTTTCTTTGTTTTCACCAAAACTATCTTTTGTTTTTACACTTAGGGAGTAAGTGTATGTTAAAAAGTCCACGGGACGTGGCCGGAGAATTAGTTGATAGGATCGTGAATAGTGTTGGCTAGACTAGAAGGGAGTTCAAGTCTTGTAAGTCCAAACTATGTTTATATGCGATTTATCAATGAAAGAGCTCTGAGGGAAAGTGAGATGCTTCCCTGAAGAGTTTTTAAATCTTCGGTCTTATTGCTTCCGCATTTTACAGTTCTTGTTTAGGTTTATACTAATTGGCGCACTCCGTGATAATTATACGTTTCAGTCTATAAATTTATACAAGATTTTTAGACTAGCGGTCCCATGTAACCATTGAATTTTATTTTATATAAAATATTGCAATTAAATGTTTAAACTTTTTAAATAATTAAAACATTCATGTGAGCATTAAATTTTTTTATACATTTAATTTTTATTATTCCGTATATGACTTAAAGTTGTTGTACTAAATTATTAATCTAGAAGGTACATAATAATCTAGAGCAGCTATCAAAACTATAGTAGCTAAAAAAAAGAAGAGGAAAGGTCGATCCTCCTACCTTCGGTCGAGGATAATGATGCTATTGTTTTCTTATGGTTTACGTGCGTTCCTAAGTTCTAACTTTATTAAAAATGAAATCACCATATAAAGTTTAACATATCTAAAGTCAACGGTATATAAAACATAGCCGGGTAGCAAACTAAAGTATAAAGTGTGTTCGAACACCAAAAATTACGTGGAAGCAAACAAACTTAAAAATTTCTTCGGGACGTACAACTATCCCTCAAAGCTCTTTCATTAATAGTTCGGTTTGCGTGCACCAAAACACATCTTGGACTTATGAGACCCGTACTCATTCCTAGTCTAGCCAACACTTTAGAGGGTATATATTATGATGAGACTTTATGTCAATAGCTATGCTTAAGTCCATTCGGATTCTCTGGATTGTAGTCGCTCATATGGATTATGAGGTCTGTAAAATGGATGTCAAGACATCTTTTCTTAACGGAAACCTTCAGAAGAACATCTATATGGAACAACCAAAGAGATTCATTGCTAAGGGACATGGACATCTAGTGTGTAAGCGTAATCAGTCTATTTATGGATTAAAGCAAGCTTCGAGATCTTGGAATATCCGGTTCGATGAGGTGATCCAGTCGTACGGGTTCACACAATGTCCGGATAAGCACTGTGTGTACAAGAAAATCAGTAAGAGCGTGGTGGTGTTTCTTGTGGTTTACGTAGATGACATGCTTCTTATTGAAAACAATAAGAATGAGTTATCAGACGTAAAGGTGTAGTTGTCTAAGCAGTTTGGTATGAAAGACTTAGGTGAAGCAGGACACATTCTTGGTATTAGAGTCATTCAAGACCGTAAGAAGAGAATATTGTGCTTATCCCAGTCTACATACATAGGTACTGTCTTGGCTAGATTCATCATGCAGAATTCTAAGAAAGGTATGTTACCTTTCAGACATGGAATAGGTATATCCAAGGATATGTCTCCTAAGACGTCTCAAGAGATAGAAGACATGAAGACAGTTCCTTACGCTTCGGCAGTAGGAAGTCTTATGTATGCTATGTTGTGTACAAGACTGGATATTAGCTACGTCGTTGGCATGGTAGCTAGATATCAAGTAATCCGGGACGGAAACATTAGTCTGCGGTGAAATATATACTCAAGTACCTGAAGAGGACTAAAAAGTACATGTTAGTTTACCGTGCAAACAGTTTGTTATCTCTGGGTTACAGTGATTCTGATTTCCAGTCAGACAGGGACGAGAGTAAGTCAACCTCAGGCTATGTGTTTACCTTAGGAGGTGGAGCCATTTCATGGAGGAGTGATAAGCAGAAATGCGCGACAGACTCCACCATGGAAGCTGAGTACATCGCAACCTCTGAGGCAACGAAAGAGCCAGTCTGGTTCAGAAACTTCTTAATAGACTTAGAGGTGATTCTGAGTTTGCCACATTGTATCACCGTGTGCTGTGATAACAGTGGAGCAGTAGCGAACTCAAGGGAACCACGAGCCCAAAAAGCAAGCTAACACACATAGAGCACAAATACCATCTGATACGAGATATCATTGGTATATGAGACGTTGATGTTGCCAAGATTGCATTAGAGGACAACCTAGTTGATCCTCTCACGAAGAGTTTTTCGGGGAAGGTCTTTGTCAAACACGTGAAAGGAATGAGAGTCGGATGTATGGCGATAGAATCAATATAGGTCTTTTAGAATAACGTATTGATAGGACTATACATGTAAAAGCGAAAGATATAAGTATAAGTGGGAGATTGTTAGTGTTATATACTAAAAGTTTGGCTTTAGATGATAATACACTTTTGCCCTTTATGAATGAGAATCATGTTCGATTAAACAAGTTCTATGTTCTGTTGTTTTGCAGTTAGATAGAATGACTCATCATCGGGTGAACAGAAGATCATTCTATCAGTCACTTGCGGAACAAGAATTAATGGTTCACAACCTAGATGGAAATGAACACCCTATCCGAACGATTGTACAGTCAACGTTACAGTTTGTCTTGTCTGATTAGTTGCACTAGTACATCTATGTATTGAACATGATCCCAGAGAGGATAAGTTCGTTTTATACTGATCATCGTGAACGAACTAAGCCTCAGTTAATTACTATGTTTTCTTAACCCGTAATATATTACATATATATATATATATACATGCAGTATATATTACTTTGACTCACTTAGGTGAGGTTCAGTTCGCTGGACTAATATTCTTACTGTCTTGGGTAATATTATTGTATGTATGATGTGTTGTTAGGATATTTACAGTCACCATATACGTTTAATTTGATGATGTCCCAAAGTGAGTTCATGAAGGATTGTTATGCTAAAACCCTGTAGGTGGATTAAATATAATAATAATGTGATGAACGGACGCTAGCTTTTGTAATATAATATATTAATTAGTTATTGATTATCAGTAATCAAATTAATTAATAGATATTATATATTTAACATGGGAAGGTAATTCGGGTTATTATTATTGAAGTCTCAAAAGTAATTTGACCTAGGAAAAAGGAGTGCAATAATATTATGTTATAGACCCGTAATACTGTTTAAGTAATTGAAAGAGTGGGCCGGGCCCACAGCTAATCCATTACTTAAGAAGCCGTATTCCTATTCTTCTAAATGTCCCTACTGTAGCTCTATATATACATCATTAGGCTCAGGGAAAAGAGAAGAAGTGACTAGAATTCTTCTACGTGTGATATACATCACGCGCGCTCTCTCTCTCTCTCTCAGTTTTCTGTTCGAGCTTTATCTTCTTCATGTTGCTCTACCGGTACAAGTTGAAGAGGTGGTTGAGTAAGACAATAGAAGATCCCGAAGGTAATCGAGACATTGTGATCATCTACCGGAGCTGATGAACCATGACCCGAAGGCCGAGGATCGCT